TTTTATTTTTATTTTTATTTTTGAATTGCTGCTTTCACCAATAACTGCCATCAATGTGCAATCTTTTCCATCTTTGCAAAACCAAACTCTCTTCACCGCATCTTCCCAAACAACGGCTTGTCGCCAATCGTCTATTGGACTAAAAATGGCATTGGTGTTGAATAAGTATTTGGTTGAACATTAAAAACAGTGATGAATTTCATTTCACCGACAACACCAAAAAACATTAACTAAGTCAGCATTTTTAGCAGTTAACTTGCCTTCAATATACAAATGTAGTTTTTGCTCCATTTCATCAAAATCAAAAGATCATCTACCTATTGCTTACAGATAAAAATTACAAATACAATTTTTGGCAAGAAAAAAATAGATATTATCGAAAAATAAAGATGAAATGTTAACAGATCTACTAAACAATATACAATTCCTTTTGCTGGTAATATATTTTTAGTATCAGTTTCCGGAATTCTGCATGATAACGCTTGTTTCTATTTCACTGATCAATGCCAACAGCAGATGACAGTTAAAGCTTCTTTAACATATTAGTGTCCTGCGTTATACTTGTTTCTTCCTTTTGACAAAGCAAGCATATAAATTAGTAGCCGAAAAGTTCTACAAATTATGTTTCCGCAATATCCTTACTGAACTTAACCGGCAAATAGATTGTTGAAAAAAGGAGGAAAATAAAAATGAACAAAACAAAAAAAAAAAGGAAAAGACGTAAAGAATGAGAGCGGAAAAAGTAATAGAAAAGAAGTGTTGGCAAAAAAAAAAAGAAGGAAAAATACGTTAATTTATGAGGTAAAAAAAAAGTTTATTCTTCTGATGAACAACTAAAATGATGATGAGAAAACGAAAAGAAAAAATGAAGAATAGACCACCCGATGTTGATGGCCAAATTTACGAAAAAAGGCAAGAAAAAAAAGCAAGAAAAGAAAAGGAGGAAAAAAAGCAAAATAAATCCGTAACAAGAAGTTTGTTTTTCCGTCATCGTTTTTGATGCTTCAACAACGACAACATTCAAAACTTTGGATAAAACTGTTTTGCTGGTGGTAGTGTTCAGGCTGGTTGAAAAAGCAGATAACAACAACAACAACAACTTGGACCAAAACTATTTGAACAAGGCGTAACGAGGACACGATTTCTTTCAGAAGTGCTCTTCAAAGTTGCTCAAACAATTTCTTCTTGTTCACTTTCAAAAATAATACTTAGCAAAGCAAAGCAAAGCAAAAAAAAAAAAAAAAAA